TGGGGGGGGAGTGGGCTACGATGGCGGCGCGCTTACCTGCCCCCACAGTAGCTCGCCCACGCCGATGAAGACGCACCACAGCCATTGGTCGATGGTCAGCGCTGTGCATGAGAAGGGCTTGCCGCCAAATTGGACGATGACGATCTGAGCGGGACCGCGAGGGGGCAGCAAGTCAAACCACAAACGAAACGAGCGCAAACGGCTCCAGCGCAAAAAAAGAAGCTGAAACATGTTCAAGTGGGCTGAGAAAAATTCAGCTTTGACATCTTTGAAATGTCTTTTTTTTGTTTGCAGTCAGTTTATGAGGAGTTCACCTGCAGGGCGAAGGTTCCGAGAACGACACTGCAGAAGATGGGGTTGCGGTAGACGCCCTCAAAGACATTGCGCTCGCCGTGGATCTTGCGAGCGTTGATCTCGTTGAAGAGCTGCATCATGACGAAGACGTTGAAGACGATGGTGTAGTGCTCGGACGGAGGAGAGTGCAGCGGAGCGTTGCGACCGCTGTCCATGTCGAACAGTTTCTCGCCTGGATGCATACGTCGTGGCTCAATCTCTTTGTCGGATGTTTCGTTTGACATTAAACTTCAACTAACGCTTGCAGTAAACGGCTCCAAAACGTTTTGGGGGAGAAATATTTCAATTGTCACCATCAGAAAGTTTTTGCTTGAAAGTCAAAACAAAAAATGTCAGTAGTATGTTAATGTTCGTTAAAAAAAAAAAAAAAAAAAGGATTCTTAAACACAAATGATTTTTTTCCCCCTCCGGCAAAACATTTGCATTAGACAGGCCTGGAAAAACAGCAACTAGATACTGTATGATGCTAATTCATTGATCAACCTGTGATCATTTGTCCCCTTGGCCCCGAACTAACCGGCGAAGAGCAGGGTGAAGATGATGACAAGTTGGTAGACGGCGTGCCCCAGGATGTTCTTCATCATGGTGCGTGAGATAAGCGGCTTGTCACGTCCGTAGGGCCTGCGCAGGAGCAGCGACTCGGTGGGCGGCTCGGTGGCCAAGGCCAACGACGCCAACGTGTCCATGATCAGGTTCACCCACAGCATCTGCACCGCCTTTAGCGGTGAATCCTAGACAAAGCAATGACAAAAAAAAGGTAAATTGCCAATCACACCTGTTCACACAGCCAATTCAAACCTGCTTTTCATGGATTTTTCACGTTTTCCGTCAAAGTTACCAACATGAAATGGAGTACGAAGGGGACCCAGGAGAAAAAAAAAACCCAAAACAAATTGCTGATACTGATTTATTCTCATGCTGTCATTTGTTCATTTAACTGGTATAATGACAAACAATGATCTAATTCAATAGAATGTCAAGAAGCGAAACTTTTTTCATCCAATTGAATGGATTTTGTGCGGCTCCTTCTGGTCTACATGCCTTGGCCACAAGGGGGCAGTGTAATACAAAAAAAAAAAAACAGATGGTGACGGTCGCAACTACTCAGTAAGCTGCAATATGAGTCACTTCACATAGTGAAGTGATGCTCGCGTCATTTGCTCCGCCACTGGCGATTTGCATCGCTTGGTCGCATTAAAATAAACAGACAAGTCTATGTGGTTGTTTTAAACACACAAATCGTAATTATCTTTGTGTCTTTTAATTTTTTTATTTTTTGCATGTGTCATAATGTGACTGTAATTGCTAAAAGTGAACTCCTGACACAATTAAGAAAAAAAAAAATACTTGAAAGACTTGACAGCTGGCAGGAGCGATAACTTGCAACTCTCAGCCTGCTGCAGCCGGCGTAACAAAGTAGGCTAAGATAATGCCTCAAACCATCGGCGTAATCCCAAAATGGAAGCGCAGCGCGGCGCGGCGCGGCGCGGCGCGGCGTGGCGGGAACAACTCACACCAGACGACAACGCAAACGTTCAACAAGGAAGCAGCCTCTCAAGTCTATGGAGGAAATACAAGCAAGTAACGACAGGGACTTTTCTTCGACGCTCACATTCTTGGGTGCACTTTATTATTTTTTTTAAAAAAATAAATAAACAAAAAAAACACTTTTTTATTTTGTAATTTTATGTTGTAAAATAATAAATGTGAAAATACAAATCAGTTAAATGTATGCACTTGTTTTTGTGAGTTAAAAGATATATTCTTGGATTTATTGCTTCCCCATACATAAATTATACAAAAATCTGTGGTAGTTATGGATTTAAAATCTTTTTTCGAATGTATTTCTCTTCATGTGTGAATGTATTTGCACTTTATCCCCAAAAATTCATTGAAATGTATATTTTCTTTTTTTTTAATGAAATACCTGTACCATGGCCAAATCTAAAATATAATTTTGATGTAATTTTCATTTCAGTTCATTTTCTGAAAATGAATCGGAATACGGATTCAAAATAAATCAATTGAAACTCATGCTAATAACTTTTTGAACCGATCCCCTGGCACAAGGACATCGCAGTCCCAATAATCGCGTGTGCTGGCGGTACCTGTGTAATGCAGGCGCCGGTGAAGGCCACGATGACGGCGACCACGTTGACGGTGAGCTGGAACTGCAGAAACTTGGAAATGCTGTCGTAGACGTTCCTTCCCCACATGACCGCCTTCACGATGCTGGTGAAGTTGTCGTCCGTCAAGATGATGTCCGACGCCTCCTTGGCCACGTCCGTACCGGCGATGCCCTGGTGGCCAGCGGTGACAAGTTCAAACCGGGTCACGGCAATAACAAAATGCTTGCCAGCGACACCACTCGCATCCTCGGACGATGTTTGTAAATGCTCGAATTTAAATTGTAGCGCACATTCTTGGGCATGAGCTTTTCATCTGTCCCAGCCATGTTCTTCTATGATGTCACCAACTTTTCATAGTTGTGCTTTATCGATGTCAATACATTTCAAATAGACTAAACGGTTACCATGGCGAATCCGACGTCTGCTTTCTTGAGCGCGGGCCCGTCGTTGGTTCCATCTCCCGTCACCGCCACCACCTGCCGGGTCTCGCCCACCGTGCTGTCAATGATACCTGAACAACAAGCACGAGCGTGAGGTCCTCAGCAACAACATGCTCATTAGCATCTATGAGCTCGTTAACGAGACTCCCACCTTTGACCAGTGTGTGTTTGTCGGTTGGCGACGAACGGGCAAGAACTCGCAATTTGGGCCAAACTTTGTCCAGACGCTCTTGTTCGACCTGTGAAAACCAAAGAAAACGCCGTCCGTTTCCAGTTCTGGGGTGACTATCACGCTATAGGTCCATGTTGGGGCTCCGCCCACCTCGCCCTTGTCGTTCCGGATCTGCTGGTTGAACTCTTTGCCCTCCAGACACAGGAAGTCCTCGTTGGGCAGCAGGATTCCACACTTGGTGGCGATGGCCCGCGCCGTGTTGATGTTGTCGCCCGTCACCATGCGAACCGTGATACCCGCACGCTGGCACTTTGCGATGGCTTCAGGGACCTGATACCAAATGGACGATATTGACATCGCAATCTTCGCTGATATGCTTCTCACGTCGCACACGTGCATCATAGTCAATGTCAATTGTTTGTATTTACATCATATTTAGAGTACTTGTGTTAAATGTACGATATTTAGGTCGTACCTAAAGTTCTCTAGACCTCCAACGACTTATTGTACTTCAAACGTATCCATAAAGTACATGAAGTCTAATGTGGACACTTCTTATGCTCATTGAATGATGCGGTGCGGGCACCTCAGGCCTGACGGGGTCCTCGATGCCGACCACGGCGATGCAGGTGAGGTCGTTGACGATTTCGTTCTCCGCGTCCCAGTTGGGCTCGCCGCCCTCGGCCGGGAAGTCGCGAAAGGCCAAGCAGATGGTGCGCAGGCCGTCGCAGGCCATCGGCTCGATCACCTTGCGCACCATCTCGTCGCGATCTTTGGGCTTGAACACGCGCAGGTGACCGTCCGAGCCCAGGATACGTGAGCACCTCAAGGGAGACAGACAGAGAGAGGCTCTCACGCTAACTACACTTACGACCGACACGATCTCATACACTGATGAAACATTCACCGACCCAACTAAAACCCTCAAACACGTAGGCACACACACACACACACACACACACACACACACACTCACTTCCTGAGGATGATCTCGGACGCCCCTTTGCTGTACATGCGGAATCCTCCGCTGGCGTTCCTGATGACGGTGCTCATGGATTTGCGCGAGGAGTTGAAGGTGTACACTTTGTACATCTTCTCCTCTGGGACTTCGTCTCTGATGGGCTGGTAGTCCCGCTTCAGATCCAGAACCAGACCCAGGAGGGCGCACTCAGTCTTGTTGCCCACATGGCGAGGGAGGCCGCCCTCCTTCTCTGGAGGCTGGAAGGAGAAGAAGAAGGAAATGAAGAGTAGAGGAAGGAGAAGAAGAATCGGTTTACGTTTGCGGAAAAGGAGCAGGAATAAGATCTCCCCCCCCCCCACTACCCCCCAAAGTGTTTTAATCGAAAATGACTCCACACTCTCAGACTTCATTTAGACATCTTGTGTGAGTGAAGATAGTGTAGACAGACATCCTACAGGTACGTTAGCCAAGCGTATGCTAAAACTTTAATTCCATTGCTACATTAGCTTAGCGTAGCTTTTTGTCCTCCTCACCAGGATCTTGGTCGTGTAGGCCGAGTTGATGGAGATGCTGTTGACCAGGACCTCCAGGGTGTCGGGCTTGATGGCGGCGGGTTCGGGAACGGTCTTGTGATGAGTGTCTCCCACGTAGGCCTGCACCACGGTCATGCGGTTCATGGTCAGGGTGCCCGTTTTGTCTGAGCAGATGGCCGTGGCGTTGCCCATCGTCTCGCACGCGTCCAAGTGGCGCACCAGGTTGTTGTCCTTCATCATTTTCTACAAGATGGACGCCAGACGGGGTTAGAAGCAGTCGATGGTTACTACCGCCCTCTATATGAAGCTAACGCACCAGATTCCCACCACAAGCAGCCGTATTAGTCATTAGCAGAACATAAAGAACATATATGCCTGTGACTATTTTTATATGCTCTGGTTGCATTTGCTTGTTGAAAGGTTTATAGTAACCTCAATGCTAGTTTCTTTCATCTGTCTATGGTGCTTCCCAATGCGTGTTAGCATCAACCTTTTGTCGGACATGGTGATGTGGTTTCGTTAAATACGCAATGACTAATTCTCTTCGTTTTACATTCAAATACTGTATTGATGAACAAGAGAGAATTAATTACGTTGAATTCATTACTAAAGGAGCTACAGAAAATGATCATCGCGACTACGCAGGAGTAATATTAATTGTCCGAATATAAAATTGCCTAAAGGCATGGAACAACAGCAACACGAATGCTAATTCCATTACCTTGTCTGTTATGTTTCCCAGCGAGTATTAGCATTAAGCTAGCTTAAATATAAAACTGCCTGAAGGCATGGAACAACCGCAACATGAATGCTAATTCCATTAGCTTGTCTGTTGTGTTTCCCAGCGTGTATTAGCATTAAGCTAACTTGGTCGAGTTATATACGCAACGCGTAAATTCTCTTTATTTCCTGGTTATTATTAATCATAATTCCGATGAATGTGTTCACCTTGACAGAGTAGGCGAGCGCAATGGTGACGGCCAGGGGCAGGCCCTCAGGGACGGCCACCACCAGGACGGTGACGCCGATGATGAAGAACTTGACAAAGTACTGGATGTAGATGGGCGTGCACTCAGACGTCCACGAGCGGCCCTGGATGCCGAATGTGTCGATGACGAAGTACAAGATCAGGATGATTACCGTCACCGCCGACATGATCAGGCCTGCGCACAATGTCAATAATAAGAACATCAACAATAACAATAATAATGTCATAATTTACTTCTACTGACTGGCAGGGTGAATTTGCCCTCCCCCCCAGACAATGCCAAAATATAAATAACATTGTGATCAATTTTTCTATTTTCATTTCTGATATATCCGGCTGGTATAATAGTAAAAAATAGAGTATTATAATACATATAAAATATCAGACATTGAAAATGTAAGTATTGTTTATGGAGGAAAAAAAAAATCATCTTAAAACTCCAAATTTGAAATGATTGCAAACATGCTGCTGTTTTGGTTAGCAAAAGTTGATTGAAAACAGACAGTGTAGGCGCTTTTCAGCTTCATCGCTCCGCCCCAGATGTTTCCATCCTAATTTTAATAAGTTCCCGACGTGAAGGTGAATGAAAATTAAGGTCAATTAAAAAAGTGCGTCAATTCCGGGATGAATGGCGTCTGCCATCGAGGGGAAAAAAAAAATGGCAGATCCAATAAACGTGAGTGCCTGGTGACCCAGCTTACGCCTGAACGCTTTGTGGGCTTTTAAAGCAACATGCACACATTTATTGGAGTCGTCCGCAAAAATAAAATGGGCACACGACATGGTCAAAAATAATTGTAATTAAAAAATAGGATTACATTTATTATCATTTAGTCTGTTAGTGAAAGTGGTATTTTAGAGATAGAAATAATATACAGTACTGTCAAAGAGTTTTTTTCCCCCCCAAGTAGGTAATTTCTCATTTTTGTCATTTCTAAATGATATTTAAATAATAAATTGGTGAAAAAGTGTTTTGTGTGCTTTTTGCAAGTGCCTCACCGGCCTTCCCGATTTGCACAGCCAGTCTGGTCAGCTTCCCCTGCAGCACCGACTTCTCCTTCTTGGGCACGATTACCTTCTTGACCGGCTTGGCCTCCTCCTTCTCCTCCGACTCGGCCGCCTCCTCGCTCTTAAGCGGCTGGATCTCCAACGCGATGCCATCCTGGGTTTTGGCTGAAAGGGGGTTGGGGAGGGGAAAAAAACAGGGGGGAGGAGGAAAGAGGACATGGATGAACATGTGAATGATGATGAGGAGGAGGAAGGGTGTGAGGACGAAAGGCAGAGAAAAGGTTAGAGAGGTTAAAAACAGACGAGAAATGTTTTTTATGTTGTTTTTTTTTTTGTTTTTTTTGCACGGAGGAAGAGAAGCAACAGCTTTTAGCACTGACGTGGTGGCCCCACGTCCTTTTTCATCTTTCAGGGCGCAGAGGAGCTTACATCATGACAACAATCAACAGTTGCTTGTACAACTTGTATTAGACACACACACACAAACACACACACACGCACACCAGATTGTGATGAAGCGCAACACACACACCAGCGGCTTACAACACAGAGCATTCAACTTCACACACACGACTCCATCGGTTCCCTAACCAAGCTCAATTTACCGGTTGAAGCAAATCAATGCCGCCCCCAAATCACCACCGTCGTTTAAATGAAGCCTTTCCAATGAAGAAAAATGAGAATGTCAAGGTCAAGGTCATCTTTCTTGTCAAATATGCTTTATGTATAACACGTCAAGTGGGTTCATCACGTGGTAAGTACGCTATCGATTGAGTGCATGATTATCTGAAGAACAAACTGGCCTTCCAGCCAGTATATTACATGGGAAAGATACAATGTGATGTGAATGGTGCATCATTGATATTTTTTTTGAAGAGCTGAGGTTGGAAATAACAAAATCCCTTCGGGACGTTTCATGACATTGACCTTATTAAAGCTAAAACCGGTTGGGGAGGCGTGGGGGTGGAAACAAATGCTCAGGACAGAGGACTAAGGGTTAATTGGCGTGGGGATTATGGGAGGTCCGCGGACCTCGAAATGTTTTTGAGCCCCGGCACGACATCCCACTACACAGAGAGTGTCTTTGCCTCACATGAGAGCTCAGCCGGCAGCTCCGAACGAAAGCTGACGAGGAGTCTTGGCCTCATTTGCATAAGCAAAACAGCCTATTTGCATCTGGCGGATGCGTTTCATTGAGCCGCTTCCCAGCATGCATCGCTGCTCGCCCAAAAGCTTCCTCAGTTAATCTGACGCTGACTGGTTAAGGTTGAAAACCTCATTCAGATGCTACGGCAGCTCATGGGAAATGATTGCCAACATTTAACGCGACTGATTTTGGACACATTTATGTGACAAAACAAACAGATGTACTTTTGGGGTTTTCTTTCGGCTTGGCATATCGATTTTAGTAGGATGCAGTTTCTTTCTTTCTTTTTTTTTTTTAAAATTCAACCCCTGTAGCCTGTTTCACTTCGCAGCATGAAATTCCCTGGGCATGTTTATCATGAGGAGACCCACAAAAAAGTCTCAGTAAGGCATGCCCCCCCCCCAAAAAAAAAAAAACACACAGGAAGTCTGCCATTTCAGTTCTAAAGGGACTTCTTAGAAGTGAAGATGGCCATTTGTCTTTATTTGAAAGCCTCGAGGGCAGTTTGAAATTTGGAAGGCATGTTTGTCATGAGGGCGGCACGCTGGCCAATTGGTTAGCACGTCTGCCTCACAACGCAGAGGTGTAGGGTTCGATTCCGGCTCTGGACTTCCTGTGTGGCGTTTGCATGTTTTCCCCTTGCCTGCGTGGGTTTTATCCGGGTACTCCGGTTGCCTCCCACATCCCACACTCAAAATTGTGCCTCGATGTGAGGGTGAGCGCGAATGGTCGTTTGTCTATGTGTGCCCTGCAATTGGCTGGCGACCAGTTCAGGGTGTCCCCCCCCCCCCGCTTACTACCCGAAGACGGCTGGGATAATAAAGCGGATTCGAAAATGGATGGATGTTTATCATGAGCAGAAGCATACAAATGTCTTAGGAACCTATGCCCAAAATACCACAAAGAAGTCTGACGAGGTTTAAAGCAGCAATTTTAGGGTCATTTTGTCAAAGGGCACCTTAGAATTGCTTTGTTTCGTCATTGTTATTATTTGAAAAAGTCGGCCTCCATAATCAGTTGGTAGCAAAATCCATCATGAGTAGACCAAAAAAAAAAAAAAAGTCTCAAGACATGGACGCCTGTCATTTTTGTTCCAAATGTCTTGAGAGTGGTTGAAATCAAACATTTCCTCGGGCAAGATTATGAAAATTTAGCCCCTGGAGCCAGTCCGACTTTATATCATGAATTTGGTAGACATGCCAATTATGAGCAGACCCACACAAAATTCTCCGGAAGCCGTACACAGGAAGTGTGCCACTTTGGTTTGAAGTGGCCATTCGTGGTCATTTGGTCCAAATCCCTCTTGCAATCACTTTTGTTTCTTCATTATTATTTGAACATACCAGCCCCTGAAACAAGTTTCATGTATCAACATGAAATTTGGTAGACACGTCTAGCATGAGCAGCGGCGCAAAAAAGAAGAAAAGACACAGGGAATGTAACATTTTGATGGTCAGGGTCCTGTTTCCCATTTTCCAGGTTTTGAAAGACACTGAGGAATTCATCCTCCAGACTTCGTCGGATTGTTACCGAATTCCAAAATATTAGACCAAATTGCAAAAATCTAACGTTAACGTCACCGTGTGTGGGAGGAGCATGTCCAAGTTTGATAACTCGCCATAAAACAGAAAAATGTTTCAATTCAGCTCCCAAAGCTAGTTTGCGTGTTTTATTCAACATATGGTATTATGATGCTTTTACTTCTTTTATTCTTCCGCTGATGCGTGGCACTTTGTTTTGGCGGTGATAGTATTTCAAAATTCAAAGTGCTTTCATCCCTGAGAAGGAAATGATTTTGATGTCCAAAAAAAAAAAAAAGACTGAAGGTTGATTTATGACCCCTGATAAAACAATCAAAGACAAAAGGATTAATAACCCCTCATAAAACAACTGCACCCTCTCAACAATAAAAGCACGTGGACCTTAAAACCTTTTGAGTTTTGGTTTTTTTAATCCTTTTCATTGTTTTACCGAGGGGCATAAAGTTATCGGCGGCCATAAATCAATCCCATTGGTTGACACGCATGATTGACAGATTGTTTTTCCTTTTGGCAAAATTTATAAAAGGCCAAACACAACACGTCCCCAAGATGATGAATCTTGAGAGAGGCTGACTTTCAAACCAGGAAGCGGTGGAACTTTCACCCAGCACACGACATGGAACTAACTGACACTGAGACCCACCGACCAATCACAGCACGATTACACCATGGGACGTGTGTGTGTGCGTGTGTTTATGCGTGTATGTGTGTGTGTGTGTGTGTATGTGCAGTGGTGGTGGTGTAGGGGTGGGGGGAGGGGCCGGACAATCAAAAAGAAAAAAAACGACAGCAAGTCCACAAACAGACGACAAACTGAAAAAGGACCACCCGAAAAACCACAGCGATGCAGAACCACAACAGCTGGGTGGGATGGACGGATGGGTGGCAGGAGGAGGAAGAAGAGGAGGAAGGGGAAAAGACGAAGCGGCAGCAGGACAGGAAAAAGAGGAGCAAGACCACGATGACGAGACAACATCAAAGTCCTGAGTAACAACCTGCAAAGAACCAATGAAGGAGAACAAGAAGAAAAAGACGCACAGCCCACATCTTGCTGCCAGGGTGCAACTCCCACGAATTTTGCAGTAATTCTATATATTATGTGCGGGGGTGCTGGGGCGGATGACAAATCCTGCAGCATTACCTATTTTGACCACCAGGGAGCAGCGGAGTTTGACCGACAGCGTCGTGTGCCCTCCACAACAGTGCTCCGAGCAACTAAGCTAACTCAAAGCTAACAAGGCTAACAGAAGCTAAAATCGTCAAAACACAAATACAAAAAAGTGGACGCATGTATACAAGTAGGCACGCTTGATTTATGGTTCCACCGAGCGCCCAAGTGGCAGCAGATGCTCAAACCACAGGAGATTTGCCTGCGCCTGTGCGTGCGCGAGCGCGTGTGTGTGCACGCACGCCACCTTGCACAGGACCTGCAAGATGACAGGCAAGCGAGTGTGCTCTTTAGCTTGCAGCGATGACATCAGAAACAAATGCACACAGGCGGCACATGAACACTCAGGGGTATGCGTCATTTTCAGCCCAGACTGGATTATGTGGCTGCAGATAAAAATCACGTTACGATTTTTTTTTTCTTTGCCCGATTCTGATTTCAATCCATTTCATGCCCTTTTCATTTGTAGAAAGCGCAAATAATGATGACATGTTTCTCCGTGTGGGATTTGCTTGATTTCTCCTGATACCAAACAAGTTTTGGGTTTAAAAAAACAAAACAAAACAACAAAAACAGAAAAAAATTCCAGAGAATTAACTTGCACCAACTTTGTACTTGTACTTTATAGGCACATCTTGCTTGCATCATGGTTTCATGCTGCATCCAATTTAATGCGCTGCTCCTTCTGAAGTGCTCGTCTTGGCCAGGAGGAGGCAGTCCTGTATAGGCGGCCGCAACGACTACTTAAAGGTTTCACAACAATTAAGTTGATGTTGTTGATGAATCTGACCACGGATTAGATGTCGATGAATCGAATAATTACGATTAACTTTCAGAATTAACTCTCTGTTAGGAGCCGCGTTGTTGCAGCGCGCATCAGCAAACGACCGAAGCCGCAATAAATAAATGAATCATCACCAAGACAATAGCAGATGCAAAGGCAGAAACGATTGAGAGTTGCACCCGGGCAGAGCGAGCCAACAGGCCCCTTTCTAATCAGAGAGAGAGAGAGACAGACAGACAGAAAGAAGGAGCACCCCCTCCTGCCTCTGGATGGAGATGACAGAGAGGGGGGAGGACGAGGAAGAGGGAGGATGGTGGGACAGAGCGACAGGTGGATGAATGGAGGGGGTTACCTTTGTTGCGATTTTCGGGGGGTCCTTGTTTTTTACCTGTTCGGACAGAGAGAGAGGGCGGAATGCTGAGAAGATGGATCAAAAGAATCAAACTGAAGGAGAACTTCAAACACTGCCTCTGTGTGTGTGTGTGTGTGTGTGTGTGTCTTGTTGGCAGGAATGGACCAATCAGAGGAGAGGGAGACACTTCCGACTGCTGCGTTTTGCTGAAGCCAGCCAGTCACAAATGATCACTTCATCAAGAGTTCATTTTTATTGCCAATTAAGTTTTAAAAATATATTTACAGTGCTGATTTCTGTGTTCTTTGCATATGTATCATATTGAAAGGTTTCGGTTCATCAAACCAATTTTAATATCTATCACACAGACTCTACACAAGGAAATACAAAATTCACTTTCTAAATACACCAAAAAATTGTGTGTTGCTAAATTGTTTAAAAATTTGGCGGGGGGTAATTATGACTGATTAAAGAATGAGTATAAATAGATTTTTTGTTCATTTATATATTTTTTTTATTGATGAATAAATGAATGACAAACACATGAAGATGTTTCCTTTTAAAGAAAAATAATAGCAATTTATGAATACACCAGGGAAATATCATACTGCTGTCAAATTGGGCCCTTTTTTGTGTGTTAAATGCATTAAAAAAAAAAAAAAAACTTGAGGCAGACAGTGTCCGTCTTTGTACTGACTTGGTCCATTCATCCCCTTCCTAAATGAATGCCCGACAAACTCAAACGTTGGCCAAGGAAACAAATGAGCAGACAGAGAATCCAAAACAACCAGCGAGCGTGATCACAAACACTAAAAAAAAAAAAAAGAGCGGTCGCCAGCTCCCCCAGACTGTAGCCGAGCATCACACCGCTCGCTTTGTGTACACGCCAAGATCCTTTTCAAAACGTTTTTTTTCTTTCCTTAAAATTCTTTTTTTTCTTAATGAAATACCAGTCGAGGCGTGTGTTTTAACAAAGGGGGCCGTGGATTATTTCATTCATTCATTCGACACCAATGGCACACTGATGACTGATGATTGGTCAACCTGACAAAAGACAAAAGTCGCGTGTAAGCTGAATTACATGGTCGCTCATTCCGAAGACACATTTTTGACTTCCCCTTACTGGATTTACACTGCAGCTCGCGCTGTCGAGTACATTACATCTCATGTCAATCGATATTATATAGAACATGAAATAGATTGTATATTCTGTCACAGAGGTACACACTGTACATCAACTGCAATATAACTGATATGCCTGTTTGTACACAAACATGAGGTAAATATTACATAAGAGGTGTATAGAATAAATAAAAAAAAGATATATTTTTTAACAATTAAAAAAATATTAAAAATTAAATGACATAAGTATGCTACTTTAGTGATGTAAATAAGGTAAGTTCAAGACATGATTACGAAGGGTTGAATGACTCCACATTTGGCGTCCATATTACGGCGATGATAATCGAGTCCATGTTGACTAGTCAATGCTGTCAAGTCGATGAATCGATGATATTTTTTTCCCCAGTGGTCAAACCCAAAGTGTGCGTGCGGCTTTGGCCTCGAATGGAGCTCGCTCACTCATTCGCTTTTCCCGCAGTCCTCATTTCCAGTAGCCCCGCCTCCTTCCTCTAATCCCATTCAGACCCCTTCACGGCCTCACAGGCAGTCGGAATTTGTAATACTCAAAAACCAAGTTATGTAACAAGTGTGATTTGTGATTGATGAGTGAGTCGGCGGCTAGGGCCGGTGGAGGGAGGAAGAGAATTGCGAGCGTGTCCGCGGGTTGGAGGCGATGAAGAAAAACGGCAGTTGGATGTTAGCGTTGTCGGTATTAACCGTTCATTTTCACTCCAATGAGGTTTTTGATCGTGTCTTGGTTTGGTGGCGCGAGCCGACGCTGAGGGTATGTTGACTCTCTTTGCATTGTTACAGGAGAGCGTTGGGTGAAGTCGCTGATGTGGCGCTTTGGGCTGTTGACCAGCTAGCGTTAGCATTGCACTTTTGTTTTAAGTGATGACAGATTCCCAAATTTGCGAATGTTTTTTCTTCATTGTGAGTCATATTTTCCCCACGCCTGCGAATTTGCTGCGCTGACCGACGACCTGTTCATTTGAGGACGGGCGAATGTCATTCATGCCAAAATACTGCGGCCACGATGGTAACCCCTCTTTTATTGTGGAAAAGACAAAATCCAGAAAGGATGTATTTAAAAATGTTATAAACGGTCTTACTTACTGTATGACACAGTCTGTTGGATTCTGACGGGATAATAACAGTGAGCAAAAATATCACAGTACTAAAATGACCGATATTTGGGTCAATCAAAACAGCATTTGTTCTTTTTCACAATGAACGCAATGTATTTACATTTGAAAGCAACATCAGTTGAAATAAATAAATAAATCGATCTTCTGTTTTAATTCTTCTTAGCAAGTCGCTGCGACACATCACTTACGAGCTATTATTAGCACAGACCCGTTGAGCTACTCATGATGTCCTTGGGGCTAACTAGTAACTGCCGGCACTAATTCTTTTAAAGACAATGCACATTAATCAGAGAGAAAAGGCAATCCTGTTTGCGGTCTCGCTTTTGTGTTGCCCAATCGCTCTTCCTCCTCCCTCCTCCTCCTCCTTGCATAAATGCTGACCCCTCCCCTTTCCGCTCGTCAAGAAAGAGAGGGAAACTTTTGTGTTGCCCAATCGCTCTTCCTCCTCCCTCCCTCCTCCTCCCATAAATGCTGACCCCTCCCCTTTCCGCTCGTCGAGAAAGAGAGGGGAAAAAAAGTGAATTGGTCGCAATTTATTTGGTTTACTCAACGATGCAATCTGCCAGTCTGCTTTGACGTTCTTTCAAAAAAGAAAAGTAAAGCTCATTAAACGGTAAAAGTGCCAGTATTAGCGCTTATTGAAACCGCAACTTTTTCAAACAACGTCTAAGGCGTCAAACCGCCGATTGTCCTACGTTCATGTTTACGCGCCACTCATGTAGCATATTTAAAATATGTTGAAAATTCTCAAGCATGTAGTGTAAAGCCAGCTGGAAAAGTCATTTCATGTCGTTTGTGTCAAGTTGTTTCGCTTGCAAATGAGCACAAGAAACATTCTTGATGTTCTGGTGGTGTTTTTAGTTGTTGTTTTTCATGTGTGTGTGTGTGTGTGTGTGTGTGTTTTATTCCTACTTTTCTTGGCCTTCTTCTCCTCGTCGTTCTCGCTGGCACCGAGCAGCGTGAAGATGATTCCCGTCTGAGAGTTCAGACCCACGGCCGACACCACCATCCGGCCCGAGCCCTCCATCACGTGTGTCCCTGCCCAGCAAAAAGACACCTTTAGTATCGCCATGATAGCTACTGGACCACAATAAGTGCTGATGCGGGCGGCTCCACAAGGGTTTCATTAACGCTACAAATTCTAATGGCAAGTGATTAAATGTAACTTGAAATGTTAACAATTAGCAGGCTAATATATAACGAGAGAGAACAACCATGGCGCTAATAGCAACCTAAAAAAACAAAAACAAAAAAAAAAACCCCACAAAGGCTTTTACATTCCGGGACTGTCCTGTCGTTTGCTCTTATTTCTGATTTGAATTTGGGCGTGTCCGGAAATATGCTCGGAGCGCGCACTGAAAGATTTATCCAATGCCAGCTCCCTTGAAATAAGGCCACTATTGGCCTGATAACGGTGCTCGCCCATCACTAATCCCAAGAAACTTTCATTTCCTGTTTGATGGTTATCATCGCTCAGCATTACTAGTAGGCCCGGAGTTTTTTTCGTGTTTGTTTGTTTCTGGGATCGCACTCCGAATTGATTGCGTTTTTGGGGCATCGCGCCTTCAAACTCACCCGACAGCAGCATCGGATCTTTCTCCAGAGACTTGCGAACGTGATCAGACTCTCCGGTGAGGGAGCTCTCGTCAATCTTCAGATCGTTGCCTTGGATCAAAATGCCGTCAGCTGGCAGGAGATCGCCTGCGGGTGTCCAAGACGAGAACATCAGATACCATTTCGAAAGAGGCTCGCTCCAACACTGACACGCGTTTGCGTTTTGCGGACCGTATTTGATCTGAGCGATGTCCCCCACCACCATCTCGGCCACGGGGATCTGTATGACTTGTCCCTTGCGGATGACGGTGAACTTCTGCTCCTGCTCGATGCGACTCTGGAGGCCTCGGAATTGCTTCTCTTTGGACCAATCGTTGAAGGCCGTCACCAGCACCACGATGATGACCGAGAACAAGATGGCCGCGCCCTCGATCCAGCCCGCCTGCGCCTCACCCTCGTCCTCCACGCCGCCCGATGCCTGGCCGCAAGCTAGGAAAAAAAATTTCAAATAGAAGAGAAACATTTCAATTCAGCTGCGTGGAGCACTCGGACGGGAGTTACCTTGGGAAACGCCATTTTGATTTAAAAAAAAAAAAAGCTAACTATTATTCTCATTTTTTAAATTGTATTGCATATCAAATTCCCATTTTGGTGGTTTAATTGCCAGGTGAATGCATGCCGCGATCTGATCTCCTTGTCCTTTCTCGACTGCGTGGGGCAGTGTGCTCCACTGCCCCAAGTTAACATAAAACATCATTATCAAAAATTGCTAACATGAGAGTAAAATGTCAACTTTGAAATATAATAGTGCAGAATCTACACAATGAAAGGTAGACATTAAATTAGGTGTGATGCTAAAATTGTTTCTTTTTTTTTTTTTTTTTAAAACATGATCTCGATTGAAAAAAATAATAAATAAATAGACATGAGAGTGAAATGATAACTTGTCCTGGAAATGTCAGGTTCCAGTCAAAGTTTTGCAGTCGGCCTCAAGCAGAGCTCTCGAAGCGGGCAAACGGACCTTCGCTGTCTCCGCCTTCCAGGTGATAGAAGGACAAGCCCAGCGAGATGATGGCGGCAATCTCCAGGATGATGAGCGTGACGTCTTGCAGGGCTTCCCACACCAGCTGCAGGAAGGTTTTGGCCTTCTTGGGAGGGATGAAGTTCTTCCCGAATGCCGCGTGTCGCTTCTCCAGGTCAACGGGGTTCCCGGAGAGACCTGCGGTTGGATGGAACCATTTTTAGTACCTCGACTCGAAATGAAGATTTGCGACCCGCTGCTCGAGTTAACGTCACAATGTCAGACACCGCGCACCGCACGGTCCAGAATCCGAAACGGCCGTCTCGAGTCGGACTCCGGCCTTCCCTGTGGGACACCGCCTACAGAAATGCAATCTGGTGCCGTTCACCGGTGGCAACCTGGCGCACGGGCAACGCCTCCCCCTCGAAGCAGGCCGCTCGCTCTTCGGATGACGCTCGAAGCACTCGTCAGACCATCGCTCGACTCAATCGAGGGGGACACGAGAGCCCTCGGGGCCAGATGAGCGAACGTGTCGGAACGAGATAACGTGCCGCGAGGAGTCACGTGACCGCACGCGGAAGCCGAGCGGGACTCCGTCAATCAAACGGAGCCTGGCAGTCACATGACCGCGGTCAGAAGCAACGTATTCAAAGTGGAAAACGTACACGAAGCGCAGACCAAACATCAGTTCTTGAAACGTCAATTTGAAACCCTAATTTAAGGCTGTATTCAGGCTGTAAACCCTGTTTGAAATCTTAATTTGAAACCTTAACCAAGGCTTGAAATCCTCACCTTGACTTGAATTCCAAACTCTTGTTTGAAAGGATACGGCCTATCATGAAACCTTTGAAACTGTAAACCCTCATTTAAAAAGCGAACCGCAGCTTTCAACCCTACCCTTGGATTGAAACGCTAATTTGAAACCCCATCCTTGGTTTGGCAACGCTAACCCAGATATGAAATCCTAACCTTGACTTGAAACCCAACTTTGAACATCTGAACTCTTTCCCGATCAAATGATTTGCCGGTGAATCACGTCTGAATTGGCTGGAAATGCGTTTGGTTTGCTTTGAGTGAATTTCCTCGCGGCTAAACGCTCGTTTCTTTGCTGGCGACAGCCAAACGGCCACATGTGGCGATGCACGACATAAACGCGCGCAAACGCTGTCGACGTTGTCGCCATGAACACAAAAACGCGGCGAAGCCAAATTGGAGTGTGACTTTTTGGAGTGGGCGGTTGTAATTTGTCGGTGAAAAGAAAGCAGATGTGATAGATGTCCACATGGCCGCAGTTGCCATGGTAACCTGTACAGAAGACACCCACCGTCTTCGTCGTCTTCCTCCGGGAAGGAAGGAAGGAAAGAAAGAAAGCTTCCGTTAAAAAAAAAAAAAAAAAAAAAAAAAAAAGGGAGATCTGGCCTTTCAGCACGGCGAGGACAAACGAGAGCCGACCTCCGCCAAGGCTCCGAGCGATACGACAAAACGTTGCACGGCTCGATGCTTTTCTGCTTTGGAGACCAGCTCGGGCTGTGCGTCTATGTGTGTGTGTGTGTGTGTGTGTGTGTGTGTGTGTGTGAGAGACACACTTATTGGGACCAACATCACACATCTCATATCAGTGACCAACTTCTCTCACCAGAAAAACATCTAAACATCAGATGCCACACAAAACACCGAGCTTGTATGGTTCAGAAGTGTGTGTGTGTGTGTGTGTGTGTGTGTGTGTGTGTGTGTTTCTCGAGTGCATAGGAGAGCTTTTCATGTGTATTTCAGAAGGTGGTTTCATTCATTGTTGGTTTATTTTTTTCTTCTTCTTCTTTGTGCAACAAAGTAAAAGAAAAGATGTTCGCAAATGTCCAAAAAAAATGAAAATAAAATAATAATACTAATCACTGAAACGGCAATTTGAACCCGTCAATTTTAGGGTTTCAAGCGTAGGTTATCCAAACCAAGGTTCAGGTTTCAAATTAGGCTTTCAAGCCAAGGAAAGGGTTTTCGACTTTTGTTTTTAATCATAGATGCAAGGCAACCTTTCTAGCCCCGCGACGCTTGAGTTTTTTTTCACTTGTAACGGGTAGCATTTTTCACAGCCCTGTTTTGTTCACCCGAGATGTCGGCGCTGTTGGACAGTCTGCGTTGATGCGGCTGGAGCCAAGAATGAGGAGAGAGGCACGGCGGTGTGGAGCGCGGATGCGTATTTAGACCTGAGAGTCGGGGCTTGGAATTGAAGCGGATTTACACAGGACAGGGGGAGTGAACCCATCTCTTTTTTTTTTAAGTCAGTGGACGCTGCAGCTTCTGGTTTGCTTTCAAAATTAGCTTGTAGCAGACGTGTGCACATTTTGAGCGTGAGATCTCTGATCCACTGGTGAAAGGACACTTTGATTCTCTCCTCTTTCATGTCGAACTGCTTCAAACAACAAGGCGTATGCAGGAATAGCGCTTACCATTGCATGACTGTCCATGCCTTATGTGTCGTGTTATGTTACCGTATTTTTTCTTGTTCTGCGAAGCGCGATATAAATAAAAATGGATCGTATCGTATTGAACTGGATAAACAAAACAACAAGAATAACGTCTTATATTTGGTAATATTTCTGAATCAATGGTTGAGTTCAGCAACGGGGGAATTTTTTTTTTTTTTCCTGAGACGACATGGCGATAAACGTCAACACATGGTAAAATCCTTGTGACACAACAAAATCCGCAAATGTATCAAAAATAAAAATAATAAATAAATCACCGTTGAAGTTTGAAATTTTGCATTAACGTTGCCAAGTCAAGATTCCTCCTCGTTTGCTTTGCGCGTTGTCGGAGAAAAATCTGCTCATCGTTGAGTGGTTATTTGAAAAGTCACAAAACAAGGTCCAAAACCTTTTTCACATGCCGTTGTCATTTTGTTGACAGGATAACGCTTAAAATAGTCATTTTATTTTTAGTTTACAAGCCACGTCTCACATCAGATTGTGACAAAAGCTGCAAGGATAAAAAAAAAAAAAGAAGAAAAAACCCCCACACGTTTTTGATTTTTCTTTTTTTTAGGCCATGATGAAAAGAACATCAGCGACCACCAGGGAGGCTTCAGACGGACGCTTCACAAGACATCAAAAATGTAATGGTGGATTAAAAAAAAAAAAGATGAAACGTGCGCGCTGACACTTCACGTGCACTGTTCAATTTAAGCGTGTGAAGCGCGCGGGTGTGAAGCGCTGTCGCTTCGGAGTCGGCTGTCGCACTCTGACACGCCACAAAATTTTATTTCAACCACATTTCGACAAATGCATGCATGCATGCTTTCATTCAGCCTCATTTTTGCCATCAGGCCTATAGAAATACACGAAAACTCAATTTGTCCATAACATGACCGATCTGCACATGCATAAGAAAGTCAACCGCACTTTACATTAAATTAAAACATTTCAAGAAATAAAAGGCCTTTTTTGGGTGGGGGGGGAGGGGGGTAAAATAAGTATAAATCATGTTTATGGTGAATAGGGTCGATCACATATATTAATCAGTATTAGCATTGTATTTACGCAAAAATCTTTTTCAAAAATGTATCAGATAAACATAAAAATGATTAAAAAACAAAAATAAATACCTACATCCTCTATCATGGAAAATCTAATTAAGATATATTTTTTAGGGTAAATGTAGCTTCATTACAAAAATTTTTATAAGCTAGGACGATTAACAAATAAGATACAGAATGATAACATTTTTAAAATTCAAAATATGCACGTTAAAAAACCAAAATAAAGTCCATTTTGGAAAAACGGAATGACATTAAAACATGTTCATTCTGAAGACAAACACATTACATGTCTTTATTTGTAATTTAAAATAATAAAATGGATTTTAAAAACGTTTCAATTAGGAAAAACATTCATCAAAAAAATATAGATAAGGATTAAGATTTCATAATTTTGTTGCTGTAAATTGGGAATTCCCCCATTGTGAGACAAATCAAGGTTTTCTTCAATCTTCAAGAAGTACTTAGATCGTGGGACGAAAGTCGGCAGTGGTGTTGCGGACGCTGCAGCCGATTTGCCAAACGGAAGGCCGCAATGATCTATGGAGATATTAAGGGAGCCGCCTGGAACTAATTTCAATCCAGCAATGGACCAGCGGCCAGCACACACGCACGCACGAGGATCAAAGTTGATGCTGATGACGATGACGGCCCCGCCGGCGAGAGCAAGAAAGAACAAATAGCAGCCCGGCTCCACGGCCATTTTCTGGCATCAGATTGGCTGCACAACACTTTCGGGGGTTGGTCCGAAATCATGTCAGCCAAGGTGGTATAACTCGTATCATCTTAAGTATAATTACCAGAATGTAAACAAATATTGTCATTGCTGTCGCCGTTCCTGCTTGTCGCGTGATGCGCGTTTGCGGTGGGTCGTCTGCAGTGGACGAAACTTTTGGTTATTTAGGCATCGACTTAGCGTTTTACCTTCGATGGGGGATGTTTTGAGGCGTCTGCAGATGCCCTGCACGTCGCCGTAGTCGTCTCGTATCTTGTTGACGGCCTCACCGCTGCGTAGTTCCATGAGTCCTCGCAGGTCGCTCACCGTCACGCCGAAGTCGCCATCGTGGTTGCCATCGGCAACCGAGTTCCCCGGAGGGTGATCCGCTGTGTTGTTGGCCATGTCGGTAATCCTCCGTTAGCGTCTCTCCAATGTCCAAAAAAAAAGTCCCAAGAGGGGGGCGTGTCAATGGATGGGTATTTAAGGGCACTGTAGTTTCGCAGCTTAACTCCTCACTGGGACAGGCATGCTCCTCTGGGTTACCATGGAAACGGGGATAAACATGTTCGGCTGTTGTCGCTGTGAACAGAGAAAGGAAGTAGAATGGATGAGAAGACCAGCTGAAGCACCGCAAACAAATCACAAATGGCTTGTCTTCGAATCATCAAAAAAATATTCGAGTGATCAATCGATTATTAATCTACTTGTTAGTTGCAGCCCGAGGCAAAACCACACTTTTTTTTGGAAGGGGGGGGGGTTGATGTGTGGAATGTTTGTCTCTATCTGTTCTGGTTGTTGTGAAAAACTTGACTTTTCCCTTGCTTTTGTCAACTAACTCGACTCTGTTTGCAGCCAAGTTCGTTTGGGAGGAAGATTAAAATTATCATCACAAATACATTGAAGTCAATGAATAAAATGGAGTCATTGGCTTGCCCTACCGCAAACGTTTTGTATTTATTAACCTAAGCCCCGCCCCCAAATGGTTTTCCATTTGTTGTTTGTTTGTTTTTTGACGATAAAGCTGAAAAGGGCCAGATGGAAAAGGAAGTGTCAGCGAGCGGTCGGAGGTAAGACTGCTTCTCCATCGCAACGGCATCAAAACGAGAAGTTTGGACACGTGATCATCAACAAAGTGCGTGCACCCATTTCAAAAAATGGGTGGACATGTCCATCATAACAGGACCCACAAAAAAGTCTCAAGGACCCATTGCCAAAATTTAATAAGTCGGTCATTTTGGGTCAAAGCAATTCTACGACTCTTTGATAAAATCAAATAAAAATCAGATCCTAACACCGGTTTCACCAGTTGTCATGAAATGGGTAGACATCAATCATAAGAGGACCCACAAAAAAAAAAAAAAAAAGAAGTCTCAACGACCCCTGAAAGCTGAACAGGAAGTTCGGCATTTTGCTTTGAAGCAGTTTCTACAGACTTCCAGCATATCCTGGAAAGCGTCAAGAAAAATAAATAAATAAAACTAATAAATGAATAATCGGTTCCTGACACCATTTCCCCCCAATCGACATGAGCTTGGGTGAAAATCTCGACTAAAACAGGATGCGCAAAAAATGTCCCGAATTTTAACTTCCAGTCAGCCATTTTGGGAAGGACTAATCAGAAGCAGCTGACAAATGGCCACCGCTAAATGATATTTTTTGAGGCTTAGCCATGAAAAATAAAACAACCTAGATCAGAAAAAAAAAAAAAAAAAAGATGACTGCCGCACGGACCTGTGGGTGGTGTCACACAAATGAACTCTGCACTAACACACAAACGCACACCTAAAGACACACACCTCCTCATGCTTGTTTGTTCGAATAGTCGACCGCACCCACTTGAGTCCAAAGGTGAAATAGCTTCCAGTTCGCAGTCAGAAAGGCACAACGGAAAATAATTAGGACGCCCACCTTTTGCCCAATGCGACTCACCCACCCGGTAATACAAAAATAGAATCCTGTGCAATTTCTAGCTTGAGGGTTTGTAGTCGTTTGAACATTCCTGCACTGCTGAAAACGTCAATTTGACACGACAGTTTGACGTTTTGATTATGTCGCCGCACCCACACAGAACACGTGGAAAAATGTCAGGATTTGGCCACAATGTGCCAAAAGGCGGATATCTTGCCACGTCGTCGGCACCTTTTTATGTCCAAGTGAGACATCTTAACGAAGAGAAAAGCTTTGCATGGCAGGGTGGAGGCAAGATTAAGATTCGCTCGCCCGCCCGTGTTGTTAGTGGAACTTCTTTGCATTTTTACCAAATGAAATCAGCTGTACTGTCCAAGGAATGCCAACTGCCATTTTCAAAGCCTTTTCACGGATTTTTCAGGACGCACAAAATGTTCTGCTCTGACAACATAAACACTGAACCGGGAGAGCACACACTCTTTTTTCCACTGGAAACAAAAGTTTGTTTATTTAAAAAAAAAAAAAAATGTATTGAATGTTTATCAAGAGTTTTTGAGAGAATTTTTCAGGGTAAATTATTATTTTTTTTTTCACCAAGGCATTTCAGTGGGCGGTAATTATCTGTGAATTTTGTCTGTTTTTATGCCGGGTTGGTCCCAAACCCCTGCAAGATAATTTCTTGTTGTTGGTTTTAATTCACTGAGCAGTGTTTGGCGCCCAAAATCCAAATTTCGTGAAGCCTAATCTGTACAACGTAAAGTATGTACAGACACACGTTTGTCTTTGTGTATATATTTATGTCATATATATTATGTCTATTTTCTAATAGTGTCCAATGTGTTCATTCATGTTTTTTCTGCTCAACTGCTGCTCCCCTTCTTCCTCTTCTTCTCTGAGCCTCTGCAGACACACCTGCTCTGCATACTAAAGCAGCAAGAAGCCTGCTGACTGCACGCGCGCACACACACACACACACACACACACACACACACACACACACACACACACACACACACACACACACACACACACACACACAAACTTGTACTCACGATCCAAGTATGCAATTGCAAACTCCCTGCTGGCCACACCCTCCACACACAGAAAGGAACTTTTTTTTTTTCGTTCCCCTTGTTGCACCAAGCAACTGAGTGAGTGCTTGTGCCTCATAGGAACTACTTGGACAAGGACACACTCACACACGCACACACACTAGATTTACGCAGCATGCTTCAGGTGACACAATTCCCATTTTCTTCTCCCAAGGGACACAATTGTGACCTGACGGCAGCCTAAAGGGGGGGGGGGGGGGGGAAATCGGGGAATCTTCAAGACGTGCATAAAATTTAGACAGATGCTATCTGCCAACCACTGTGCAGCCTCAATGAAATTTCACATTAAATACGATGTGATTATGTGACATTAGGTTAGTCAAATATTTCACAAGGACGTACGTACTATGGATGCCAAATTAGAAGTGCACCAAGGACAAAAGAAGTCAAATAAAGTGGAGTGGCGTGGAGGTTGGCCCTCATTAAAATCAATGGAGGGATGAGTCAGCCCAGGCCAAGTCAATGCGTGCAGCATTTCGTATTTGTATTATTGATGTATTATTGTCATTTACGTCTGCATTAATGCTTGCGGGGTTATTCGCGTCCAACTCGTTAAGGGCCAACCAATGCAATTGGCCACTGGAGCCGCCATGAAAACACAGACGAGAGGAGGAGGAAGTGAATACTTTTAGAATTGATTGGATTAATTGCATGATTGACTGAAACCGTCCCCCGAAGGCCGCATGACGTCACTTCTGGCGCGACCCGACCGCACGCGGTGTCCAAATTTACATTAAGCCTGTCCAAATTCGCCACGGGTGATGCGATCTACGGAGGCTACATGTGGAGGAGCCTTTGAATGCATCAAAGGGACTCAGCGCCGTTCTCGAATTTGGAAACCACGTCCAGACGGCCTGCCCCGGAAGTCATGCGGCCGAATAATACGGGCTTCGGAAGAGGCGGCCTGTGAATGTGGAGACAGCCGCAGTTGTCACTGTATCTGGCTTCAATTCACGGACGCGGCAAAAGAAATCCACCGGCGCTTGCGGAAGAGCTGCGAGTGGATACTTTGAAGAAGCAACCGCTTCATTTCAATCTCCCGTGTGGACTAATTTCGGTTCCTCTGGTGAGAACGACGTCGAGGGTGTGACATATCCGTTGAATGGGCATTGGATGGGCTGCAACCGTTGCTTAAAAATGTCCCATAATATTTCAGAAAACAATTCAATGTTGAATTGAACTGGGGAGGGCCATCATACAAGAAAAACACTGCAGACATGGATAAAGAATATTCACACACTTAAAAAGGCACTCACGAAACAGGCCACAAATGACTGCTGAAGCATCCAATTTCTCCCCAGTACAAAAAAAAAAAAAAATGTCCCATAAAAAGACAAGGCTCCAACACACGGCAAAATACAAGAACACTCAAAGTGTGTACGTTAGCATACCAGTGCAACACTTTACGACATTGCATCCAAGCGCACGCACGCGCACAAAATGTCCCCTTGAAGACAACTGTCCACACGATGACAGTAAAAGTGGAATGTCACGAGTTAAACTGCACTAAGACACAAAGACAAGTGCACACACATTCACATGCAGGACACGTCACTGCGTTGAGTGCAGACACCGCGCGTGTGTGCGTTGTAGCATGTCAGACTGAGAAATCAGAAGGGGGTGGGGGGGACGTACGAGCAGCCGGGAATGCAGGAGACCACACCCATATCTGCAGTCATGTGACCACCGGGGGTGGGGGCGGGAGGGCGACGATGAAGGTTCAGGAAATCACCACACTGCAGAGACCACGAAGACACACACATGAACACACACACATTCGGCCCAAGGCCTGGATGTGCTCGGCATGTCCACAAGTGGTCGCCTCCTCACTGCACCCCCAAAAAGATTTCATCGATCCGCATTCTTATCCCCTCCCACCAAAAAAAAACGACCAAGCATTCAACCTGAAGCTGAAATAACAGCATCCAGCACCACGGCATCTGACTAAGCTCACAACCCACTTTGGTTCTTTTTTTTTATTTCCACGTGTTCATATGACTATGTACGAACATGCAGATGCGCCGTCAAACATCACATCAGAGTTGGGAATTGTCCGCATCCGGCACGCTATTTTACTTCATTACAATCAACGGTCGATCTCGTCACTGATGTCACTCATTATATCCAAAAAAAAAACCATTTGGCTTCCGTCTTTCAATTGCTCTGCATGCAATAGAAAGTTTGGACAGCACGCACAAACGCATTCCAGAGATTCCCGAGTGTCTGCTGATGAGTGGACACTTTGGACAAGCTGACAAAGGGCCCCGTTGTCTTTTGTGCTCGATGTGCGAGTGTGCGTGCGATCGCTAAGTTACGCCAGCGTTCACCAAGTGGCACACAAGGCCGACCGCTCCGACTTTGCTTCCCGTCAGTCCGTCGCCTCGACAACAGCGCCGCTTAGCCTAGCTGCGGGACAAACAAGAAGAACGACATTGTGGCTTGAGAATTCATATGTAAAGGTCGTTTTTTTTTTTTTTTTTTCCCATGGCAAAAACAATCCCAAGCGTCGTAACCGTGTCTTAGGATCAGAGTGACATGACATATGTTTCAAGATACAAA